TTTGAATAAGTTTTAATGAATATTTCATTGACTGCTGCATGCTATATTTCTTCATAACTACCGACCATATAACTAAAAAATCACAACACACTGTATTAGGAAGCCACGAATCAAATTTTTATTTTCCAGCAGCTCTATTTAAGGCACTGAGTGGTACAGCCCTCACTGTGTGGTGGAAATGAATAAACCAGAAATAAAATACAGTGTGGCCACATAGGATGGAAGAATCAATCCAGAAAGCAAATCAGGGATAAAATATAGTGTGATTCCAAGAGATGGAAATTGATCAAAACTGGTAAGATGGTGGTAAATGAGGGAAGTGACAAAGAGTTAGCTCCATCGGAGTTATGTGATGATAATAATAATAAAGATAAAGATGATGATAATAAAAACAACAGCCAATCAACAAAAGGTGCTGGGGCAACCAGATATCTACCTATATACACAATTATCTCAAAATGGACCATAGGCCTAATTGTATAGCTAATACTATAAAACTCTTAGACTAAAACATCGGATCATGGATTAAGACACCAAAAGCACAAGCAACAAAAGAAAAAAATAGATAAAATAGATATTATCAAAATGAAAAATTTTTGTGTTTCAAAGAATGCCATCAAGAAAGTGAAAAGACAACCTACAGAACAGGAAAAAATATTTTCAAATTATATATCTGACAAGGGATATATAAAGAACTCTTACAACTCAACAATAAAAAGACAAATAACCCAACTTAAAAACAGGTAAAGGATTTGAATAGATATTTCTTCAAAGAAGATATACGAATAGCCAGTAAGAAAGGTCTGGAGATCTACTTCTGAAAATCAGCCAAGGAAAGCCCTATGGATCACAATGGTCTGATCTGCAATTAATCATGGGGATGGTGCAGGACCAGACAGCATGTTGTTCTGTTGTGCATGAAGAGGCCGTGAGTTGGGGCAGCTAACATCATTTGTCATTAGGGAAATGCGTATCGATACCACAGTGAGATACTACTTCACACCCACTAGGATGAAGATAATAAAAAGGCACACAATAACAAATGTTGTCAAGGATGTGGAACAATTATAACTCTCATAAATTGCTGGTGGAAATGTAAAATGGTGCTGCAGCTTTGGAAAATAGTTTGGAAGCTCCTCAAAAAGTTAAACATAGAGTTACCATGTGACCCAACAATTCTACTGCTAGGTATTGTATTTTTACACAAATAACATGTGCCTTATGTTTGTTTGCCAACCTGGCCCTCCCCCCAAAGGTATTTTCATAAGTGCCACTATGCCAATTTTTTTTTACATGTTGCTGTAAAAAAAAAAAAATCAGCATAGTGTGCTTATGATAATACCTCACAGTGGGAGTGCACAGTAGGCAAGCAAACGTATATGGTGCATGTTATTTGTGTGAAAATACGGTCAATACTCAAGAGAATGGAAAACATATATTCATAAAAAAACTTATACATGAATGTTCATAGCAGCATTATTCATAATAACCAAAAAGTGGAAACAACCCAAATGCCCATCAATTGATGAATGGATAAATAAAATGTGGAATATATCCAGACAATGGAATATTATTCGCCAATAAGAAGGAATGAAATACTGATACATGCAACAACATGGGTGAACCTTGAAAACATTAGGTTAAGTGACAGAAGTCATTTCAAAAGATCACATATTAAATGACTCTATTTATATGAAATGTCCAAAATAGGCAAATCTATAGAGATAGAAAGTAGATTAGGGGTTTCCAGAGAATGTCATAAATAGAGTAAATCTTGACTTCCACAAGACCTTTGACAAAGTCTTTGTTATACTTTTTGAAAATGTAGAGAAATAGCAGGCACAATGATAGGTCAGTTATAAGGCTTTGTAATGAGTAGAAAAAACATACAAAAAGACTGGTGGTTGGGAGGTTGAGGTCAACCAAAATAAATACTTTAGTAGTGTTCCAGCAGTTCCTCTTGGTCAACATTTTTCTTTAATAAGTTGGAGGAAGCATGAAAGGCCTATTTGCAAGTAACACAAAGCTGGAAGGGATAAGTACTATCCCTTGAGTGCAGTTTAGAAGACCCTGTTGGGCTAGAGTGATATCTGAAAACAGCATAATGAAATCTAACCTAATCTATAAATATAGTTTGTGTAATTAGGTATAAAAATAAACAATAATCAGAAATAAAAATAAATTCAGGATGAGGGGGATCTAGTCTGGCAACAACCCACTTGTGTATCAGATACCACCAGTGCAATGTGAAAGCTGCTGAAAAAACTAATGCAGCATCAGGCTGTGTTAGAATAAACACAGTTCTAAATAAATTTGCTTTACAGTTCTCTTATATTTTGTACTAGTCAGTTCGTATTTGTAACATCATGAAAAGAGAAACTCTGAGGAACAAACAAGGGAGAAAAACAAGTAGGAATAGTTGAAGGGATTAAAGATGCTTGTCTGAAGAACAGAGAGCCTACAGATCATATGTTAAAAATCTTCACCTTCTTAAGGGTTTTCAGTTAAAAGTGATAGGGTAGATTTAGTCTGTTTTCCAGTAGGCAGAGCTATACTTTTTTTGATGAGGGAAGGAGTCACAGGTTTCTTTGAGAACCTGATAAAGCCATGGGCCCTCCTCCAAGGAAAAATTATATAAATATAGGTATATATTTCATATACATATAAAATATATTTATACACACACACACATACACTTGTTTTATATACAGTCTCAAGGGGCTCTAATCCAGCTTAAGAACCCTAGGTTTAGAAGTTATAAGGACTCAGGTTTCTTTTAATTTCATATAAGAAACTCTTTCTTCATTGATGTCTAAAGCAATACCCCTGATCAGGCAGAGATAGCATGGCCATCTATCAGAAAAGTTGATAAAGGAATTCCTTCCCTGGGCAGAGGGAGTGGGAGAAAAGTCTGGAGCCAGTAACATCTGGAGTCCCTTTCAATTCTAAGATTCCCTAACCTAAAAAGATTTTCTAAGTAATTTCACAAAATTAAGGTAAATATTAAAAACACTATTTATTACTGCCATTCACATTAAAAACTTAAATACTAACAACGCCTGCTATTCGTTAGTAATTGAAGCAGGGTCATAACATAGCTCATTCAAGCACTCACATAACTTGCTGGACATATCTGAGAAGGATTTTATTCATTAGATATATAACCACAATGGCATCAGGTATATAACTTATTTCTCACATTATAAAATATTTTTCTCCACAAAGTTGCTTTTTGATAAACTTGGCTGCACTAAAGGGCACTGTAGTAGAAGCCATTAAAATCAGCCATTAAAAATCCTATGGAGCACAGTTCTACTCTAACACACATAAGGTCGCCATGAGTGGAAACCAACTCTACAGCAACTGGTTTTTCGGTTCTAGGTAACATATTGTCTAAACCTCAAGAGCTTTTATACATTAGCCAGAAGTGAGAAGAGTTCCACCTCAATTTTAATTCAACCCTTGAAAGGAAGAAAGCAAATCAAAGTACTTGATAGTGATGCTTATTTCTTTAAAACTCAGGTTCTCAGAAATCCTAAGTAGGAAACTTACAATTACTCCTCAGAGAAATAGTTCCTGGATTTGCTTCAGTTTTGTCTATAATTCTTATCACTAGTTCTACTAATAACCCTGAAAGAGCTCCAATCCTGAAATAACTGGAATTATCACAGATGTACTATATTCAAAATTACTTCAGTGTTTCCTACCTACATCCATATAAAACCGTAATGAGATTTTATAAATGTCTGTTACCAACACACAGTTCTGTTGCCTGGAAATGATTTTTATAATAAGCGTCCAAAAGGGCTGCAAGCCTCAAGGAGAAGCTGTGTGTGTGTTAGTAATTTGCTAATGGAACCCCAGCGATAGACATTATTCACTTAAGAGCTCCAATTTTATTACTGTTACTTTTCTTTTGGGGCTGAAGTTAAGGTATTATTACATCCCTTCATTTCTCTGCTTTCTCCAATTTCCATTGCCTTTATTTCCCATTCAAATAAATTTTTGAAAATGCAAAAAAAAAAAAAAAACTGTCATCAATGGTAGAGTTAAAGTGATATAAAAAACAATCAAACAAAAAGAAAACCCCATTGCCATCGAGTCAATTCCAACTAATGGCAACCCTACGTGTTACAGAGTAGAACTATTTCATAGAGTTTTCTTGGTTGTAATCTTTATAGAAGCAGATTGCCAGGCCTTCTGTGGCACCACTAAAGGTTGGCAGTTAAGCACAAACCATTTGCGCCATCCATGTTTTTGTAGTTCAAGTAATAGTCTTCCAGAAAAAGATTAATGACAGCAGACCTCCTTTTTCTATAGAAATGTTTGTCAAACTTCGTCAAAATCTGTCACATCTTTTTCTTAGCTCTCAACAAATGAAAAGACATCCAGACAGTAATGAGCCATAGAGAATTTCTAGATTATTTTTGAGTTATACCTTCCATCTGTAAATACACCTAATGTGAAGTGTTACATAGGACAGTGGTTCTCAAACTTTATCGCGTAGCAGAACCACCTGGAAGACTTCTCAAAACACAAATTGCTGGCCCCATCTCTAGAGTTTCTGATTCAGTAGATCTGGAGTGGGACCCAATGACTGGCATTTCTAATAATTTCTCAGGTGATGTTGCTGCTACTGGTCCAGGGACAAGTCTGAGAACCCCGACACAGGTGGATCCCTGATACGTACCTGATTGCGGCATCATGTTTCCTTTCCTGATTCAAACTCTCCCAGCTGAGGTTCTTACATCATATTCTAGACTAGTGCCTAAAATGACAGATGTCTTTCTGTGGCTTCAGAACCCACATAAGCCACACCCCTCTGTAATCATCCTGTGGAAAATAACAGGAAAGAGTGCAGCCTTTTTCTGGAAGATGAAATCGAGTTGTTTTTTGAGTCCCTTACCCCCTTTCTTTAAACCTCTTGGTAACTATTTGGAGTAGAGTTCAAAAAGACAGGGTTCATAAAGCTTATCTGGAAAGAAGACTGGCATACTCACCAGAGAGGAAATATACCAAGTCGCATGGTGATAAAAACCGTGGCAAACATAACAAACAGGAGATCACACATTTTCTGAAACTTGGCGTAATTTGCCATTTTGGCAGCCTATGAAAGGAAGGAATGTGACATATTAATTTAGTTAAACTGATAAATGAAAAGTTTCTTTCAATATGCACGAAGACCCTCTAAGTGATAATTTACCAGATGCATAAAATTTCCTGCTACTTTGAAATGTCATGCATCATGCAACAGAATTTAGAATTTACCCATAAGGTGAGTGAAATGCAGCATTAGCCATAAGTAGAATTACTGACTGTCATAGATTTAATAAAATATTCAGCAACCTGAAAAATTCAATTATGTGGTTGATTTCAGGAAAACAGAAAAACAAGAAATTCTTGCATTATAGATTATATTAGCAAACTAAAGACACCAAAACAGAAATTTGGCATAATAAGTCAAAATAGAGAGTGCTAGATAATCCTTTAAACCTTCAATGAGGCCCAGACACTGAGGCCGCTCAACTTTATACAGAATACATGAAGACTTTCTGCATTTCTTTTCTCATTTCTACTTAGACTTATAGGTTTTCTTTAAATAAGCACAGGGTAGACTCTGGGAAGACAGTTTCCTGGCTTATTCTCATAAACTCAGAAATGAAGAAAGCATTAAGATCATGTTATTTCAACTAATCCATTTAGATATAATTTTCAAAGTTACATTACTAGGTCATTTTTCTGGCTGAAAGTTAGTAATGTTCAAAGTGTTTGTAAAAAGTATTCCAATAATTTATTATAGTGAACTAAGTGACCACTTTTTACATTATAAATTACTCTATGGAAGAAATCACTTCTCTTTCTCTACTATCCAGATGAGTAGACATGATTTTACAGATGATTCTAAGTAAGAACTGTGCAGACTAAAAATATAATTTTGTTTGATCACCACTTTTTAGATTTTTATGTAGAATTTACAGCACATACACAAAAGGTTATAAATTGAAGGTGTCTTCTGAATTCATAACATTATTTTCTACTTCTAAGAAAGTTACATTGTTGTTGTTGTTAGGTACCGTCCAGTCCGTTACAACTCATAGAGACTCCGTAAGAATGAAACACTGCCTGGTCTTGCACCATCCTCACGATCGTTGGCTATGTTTGAACCCACTGTGGCAGTCACTGTGTCAATCCATTACACTGAGGGTCTTCCTCTTTTTGCTGACCCTCTACTTTATCAAGCATGATGTCCTTCTCCAGGGACTGGTCCCTCCTGATAACATGTCCAAAGTACATGAGATGAAGTCTTGCCATCGCTGCTTCTAAGGAACATTTTGGCTGTACTTCCTCCAAGACAGATGTGTTCATTCTTCTGGCGGTTCACGGTATATTCAATATTCTTCACCAACATCATAATTCAAAGGCATCAATTCTTCTTTGATCTTCCTTATTAACCGTCCAGCTTTTACATGCCTATGAGACCATTGAAAATACTATAGTTTGAGTCAGGCGCACCTTAGTCCTCAAGGTGGTATCTTTGCTTTTTAACACTTTAAAGAAGTCTTTTGCAGCAGATTTGCCCAGTGTAACGCGTCACTTGACTTCTTGACTGCTGCTTCCGTGGGCATTGATTGTGGATCCAAGTAAAATAAAATCCTTGATAACGTCAATCTTTTCTCCATTTATCCTGATGTTGCTTATTGGCCCATTTGTGAGGATTTTTGTTTTCTTTATGTTGAAGTGTAATCCATACTGAAGGCTGTAGTCTTTGATCTTCATCCGTAAGTGCTTCAAGTCCTTTTTGGTTTTAGCAAGCAGGGTTGTGTCATCTCCATATCACAGGTTGTTAATGAGTCTTCCTCCAATCCTGATGCTGAGTTCTTCTTCATATAGTCCAGCTGCTCAGATTATCTGGTCAGCATACAGACTAAGTATGGTGAAAGGATACAATCCTGATGCACACCTTTCCTGATGTTAAACCATGAAGTATCCCCTCGTTCTGTTCAAACAACTACCTCTTGGTCTATGTACAGGTTCTGAATGAGCACAATGAAGTATTCTGGAATTTCCATTCCTCACAATCTTATCCATAATTTGTTATGATCCATACGGTTGAATGCCTTGGCACAGTCAATAAAACAAAGGTAAATGTCTTTCTGGTATTATCTGCTTTCAGACAAGATTCGTCTGACAACAGTAATGATTTCTTTCATTCCCCATCCTCTTCTGAATCTGGCCTGAATTTCTGGAAGTTCTCTGTGAAGGTACTGCTGCAACCGTTTTTGAATTATCTTCAGTAAAATTTTACTTGCATGGGATATTAATGCTATTGCTAGATAATTTCTGCATTCTGTTGGATCACCTTTCTTTGGAATGGGCACAAATATAGATCTCCTCTAGTTGGTTGGCCAGGTAACTAGCTGTCTTCCAAATTTCTTGGCATAAACAAGTATTTCCAGCATGGCATCCATTTGTTGAAACATCTCAGCTGGTGTTCTGTTAATTCCTGCAGCCTTGTTTTTTGCCAAAGTCTTCAGTGCAGCTTGGATTTCTTCCTTCAATACCATCAGTTCTTGATCATATGCTACTTCCTGAAATGGCTGAATGCCAACCAATTCTTTTTGGTACAGTGACTCTGTGTATTCTTTCCATCTACTTCTGATGCTTCTTGTGTCATTCAGTATTTTGCCTATTGCTGTTGTTAGGTGCCGTTGAGTCAATTCCAACTCAAAGAGACCCTATAGGACAGAGTAGAACTGTCCCATAGGGTTTCCAAGGAGTGACTGGTAGATTTGAACTGCTGACATTTTGGTTAGCAGGCAACCTCTTAACCACTGTGCCACCAGAGTTCCTACAGAATTTTGCCCATAGAAACCTTCAATACTGCAACTTGAGGCTTGAATATTTTCTTCAGTTCTTTCAGCTTGAGAAATGCTGAGCATGTTCATCCTTTTTGGTTTTCCAACTCCAGGTCTTTTGCACATTTCATTATAATACTTTACTTTGTCTTCTTGAGCCGCTTTTTTAAATCTTCTTTCAGCTCTTTTACTTCAATCATTTCTTCCATTTGCTTTAGCTACTCTACGTTCAAGAGCAAGTTTCGGAGTCTCTTCTGACATCCATTTTGGTCTTTTCTTTCTTTTTAATGATCTTTTGCTTTCCTCATGAATGATGACCTTGATGTCATCCCACAGGTTGTCTGGTCTTTGATCATTAAGTGTTCAATGTGTGAAATATATTCGTGAACTAGGGTCACATAGCAGTGTGTGTAGAAAGTTTTGTATGAGAAAGTAATGAACTATAAACTTTTATTTAAAGCACAATTAAAAAAAAATCTATTCTTGAGATGGTCTCAAAATTCAGGTGGGATATACTCAAGGTCGTTCTTTGGCTCTCATGGACTTGTTTTAATTTTCTTCAGCTTCAACTTGAACTTGCATATATGTAATTGATGGTCTGTTCCACAGTCAGCCCCTGGCCTTCTTCTGCCTGATGATATTGAGCTTTTCCATTGTGTCTTTCCGTAGATGAGGTCGATTTCATTCCTCTGTATTTCATCCAGCGAGGTCCACGTGTATAGTTGCCGTTTATGTCGTTGAAAAAAGGGATTTGCAATGAATAAGTTGCTCTTCTGAGTCAAGTTGAAGGATTGTTGACAGTATGTTCAGAAGCTATAATTTAATAGCTTTAACTGAAACACAAAGCTCTTAGATAAATGTATCCCTATGGGGAAATATCTATTAACTAAGTGGAAGGCAGGAATACGAAGTTTTAATTTAATGAATACTTTGGGCGTAACACCACAAATTATTTAAAAAAGAGAAAAAGTACCTTTTGTCTCTTTCTGGCCTAAGTAAAGCATGTAATTTCCATTTTACATTAATTCACAAGTATTCAATAAGCAAGCATTAAACATCAATTTTTCAGAGAGGACTAGGCATCACATTCTACCTTCAAAGAGTCGACAGTTTACATATTTCATTAATTGGATACTCTCAAGCATTATTTATGTCAGAGAAGCCAAGTGATGAAGAACACTTGTTTTTAAGCCTCATGACTGGAATTTCTGGGATTATTTTTCTTTTCTGGGTAAAAGTGGTAGATAACAATTCAACCAGCATTTTCTGAATCATGGCTCTGCCAAGCATCATGCCAGACACTTCCACTACAGATGTTAAAGTTGCCAGATTTTAAGGATTGATTTCAAAACTGTAGGTTGCTGTATAAATTTCTACTTCCAAGGATATTTAGGATTTACTCAAATGGTAACTGATTTTCAGTGTATTACCTTTATACTAATTATTTTTCTCTTTCTTAAAAAAAAAAAAATGCTAGAGTTTAGCTTGAATCCCATAAAAACATCACAGTCCCAAACTATCATCTGATTTAGTAGCCTATTAGGACTATTTTTCTGTTTTATAGAATTAAAGGGCTCACAGTTTTTAATAAAGTGCTAAATATACTTCAAACCTTGACTAATTGCCTTTATGGTAGATTCAATTTATGGCACGGATTTCTGTTTATATTACAATAACAAATCATTATTTGAGAACACTTCTATTCTATATACACAAAAACAGTAAATGCTTCAAAGATGACGAAACTGAGGGCTAACAGAATTAAAAAAAATTCAGAATACAGATTGTAAGTCCTATTTCTACACGGAATTTATACTCTGATGAATGGATTTTGACCAGGTGTATAAATTTCTTAGTGTAAAGTGAAAAGACTTTTATTTAATTATGGGATTATTTAATTATTATTGAGTGTGACTCTTCACAGGGGCCATAATTAAGAGTAAATGCATCAAACTGTCCTTGGGACTATATGTTTTAAAATACGCTAGAGCATTTTTCTCTTTTTAACCACTTTAAAAATTCTAAATGATAATGGTTAAGAAAGTTAATCAAATTACAATCAATATTTTCACAGATACTTCTTATTATATGCATAGAAAACATAGCTTTTACATATAATTTGAAATCTGTATGGATTTTTCACTTTAAAAATACTAGGAATACATATATATATACACATATATGCAATAAAAACTATAACAACTACTTAATTTCATCAGGATATATAGCTCCTGTTAATAGCTAAAATGAGTCATATACACTCTCCAGTTCAATCAGTGTGAAACCTATAAAACAGAAACAATATCTATTCAAATAATGATTTTCCTGCTGTAAATTATTCACTGCTTAAGTATGGAATAGTAAAAGGTTTCATCATTTTATTAATAAAGAATATTAACATGATGAATATTTTTTTTGTTTAAAAGTTTATATACTAATTAAGTCTCATTTTCACCAATTTAACCCACAAAGAAACACTGCAGTACCAAAGTAGTCATTTACCATCTTCCCCAATCACTATCTAGCACCACATGGAATAACTGGTGATCCTGGGGGCTTCCTCAATTCTGCATTTTGTACTCTTAAAGGCAAAACTCTTACCTCTAGAAGAGCATCAGATGAATCATGAAGACAAAGGATCAAGGTCCCTACTCGGGCCATATTGTTGACATACGAAAAGGTAATCAAGGCAATAGCTACAAGGTGGTGCAGGAACATAGCGCCAAAGTCCTTAGGGAAGGAAAAAACATAGCCATATTAGGGTTTAGCAATATCACAACATTTGTATTCATCCGTTCAGCCATTCAACAAATACTTACTGAGAACCTTTGTAGGTTCAAGGATTTCTCTTTACTTGGATCTACAATCAATGTTCATGGAAGCAACAGTCAAGAAATCAAACAACATATTCCATTGGGCAAATCTGCTGCAAAAGACCTCTTTAAAGTGTTAAAAAACAAAGATGTTACTTTGAGGATTAAGGTGCACCTTTTCCAAGCCATGCTATTGTCTATCGCCTCAGATGCATTCGAAAGCTAGACAATGAATAAGGAAGACTGAAGAACAGATGTATTTGAATTATGGTGTTAGCAAAGAATACTGAATATACCATGGACTGCCAGAATAATGAAGAAATTTGTCTTCCAAGAAGTACAGCTAGAATGCTCCTTAGGAGAGAGGATAGTGAGATTTCATCTCTCTTACTTGGGACATGTTATCAGGAGGGACCAGTTTCTGGAGAAGGACATCATGCTTGGTAAAGTAGAGGGTCAGCAAAAAGAGGAAGACCCTCAACAAGATGGACTGATGCAGTGGCTACAACAACGGCCTCAAATATAGCAACGATTATTTAACGATGGCGCAGAACTGGGCAGTGTTTCATTCTGCTGTGTTTGGGGTCTTTATGAGTCAGAAGTGACTGGAAGGCACTTAGCAACAACAACAAACAAAGGAGACAAAGATTTCTGCCTTTTTATGTGTTCTAATGGGGACAATAAACAATAAACATAATAAGTAAATGATCTCTTATGTTGGAGATCATAGAAAAATCACTTTAATAATCACAGCCAATTATTGCAATTGTTGTCAATATGTTGTACACCTATAAAAAGCTGAATTGGCAAAAGTTGTGTGATAGATATGCCTACAACAATGACCAAAAAAAAAAGAGTAGCTTCTAAGGCTACTTATGTACAATCAAACACCTCATGGGATTTGGTTCCTTGGTTTGGCGGTTAGGGTTATGGTTTTATGGGACATCCCAGTTAATTGGCCTAATAATGTGTTTAGTGCTTCTATTCTACCTCCTAGTTCACTGTATACTGCTTGGGTCTTAAAAGCTTGCAAGTGGCCATCCACTATAGGTCTCTATTCACCTGGAGCAACAGGAAGGAGAGTCAGGAATAGAAGGAGGAGGTGGAATGTGTGGTTAATTGCCTCCATAAACAACTGCCTCCTTTACCTGGAGACCAAAAGAACTGGATGGTGCCCAGCTAGCATTACTGAACATTTTGTTCAAAGATTCCATAGAAGAATGCTGATAAGAAGGGGGGAAATGCAGAACATAATTTCAAATTCTCCTAGAATCCAGATTTTCTGGACCCCTGGAGGCTGGAAAAATCTGTGAAACTAATGACCTGAGATAATCTTTAAACCTTAAACCAAAAATATGCCCTGAAGACTTCTTAAAACCAGACAATAGTTTAGCATAACTAGTAAAGAATGTCTGTCTTGAGCACTGTGCTCTTTTAAGATCTATCTATATGGGATCAAATTGACAAGAGCAACTCGAAAGATCAGACAGGAAACCTTAGGGGGCAGTGAATTTATGTTAATGGGGGAGGAACAGCTTAGAAAAGGAAGGTGAGAACAGTTGCACAACTCGACAAATGTAATCAATGTCACTGAAAACATGCGGAAACTGTTGAATTGGTGTATGTTTTGCTGTGTATATTCTCAACAACAAAATAAATGAAAATTTAAAAATAGAAAAAAGTGCTATAGAAAAAAAGAGTAAGCATCGTAGGTGGGGGGGAGTGCTGCTTGGTGGGGGAATGGGTTGCAGTATTATATATCAGGGTCAGTGTAGGCTTTTCTAAACAGGTGACTTAAAGAAGATGGTTGAGCTAGCTATACAGAAATATGGGAAGAGAATGTGCCAGGCAGAGAAAACAAACAAGGCAAAGGCTTTATCATCATCATCCTCTTTATATCCTGACCTGTTCAAGGAATTGTAAGGAGACCAGTGTGTCTAGAGTAGTGTAAGAGAGAGTAGTAGAGGTTAGAGTGGCAACTTTGTAGATTCTTTTTTTTTTTTTTACTAGCTTCTTTCTACCTATTACCATTCTTAAAGAAGATATTGTAACTTTGTTGAGTAGAAAGTAATCACTTTATTATTTAATCACTGACATATAGCTGTTCTAGATTACATACATACTCACAGATTATTGGGAGGTTAAGGTGTCTAGAACAAGAATATTCCTGGGGCTTTAAAGATTTAATTTTATTTATTACACTGGAGTAACTACAAAGCACTTTTAAGCACTCTCTAAGATGGAGCAGGACTGGGCCTTGTTTTGTTATATATATGGTCGCTATGAGTCAGAGCTCACTGGAAGGCATCTAACAACAACAACACATAGTACTCCTAGTCATAATCATAATGAAGCAGGGTTAGGTTTTTATTCTTATAGATGCCTTCCACAAACTCCCTCTCGGATGTTCCCTTGGGACTATTCTTATGTTTGTTTTGAGAACCAGTCTGGGCAAACTGTCCTAAGGTTGGTGGATGTCTAGCCACGATACTCGGATTTAATTCTGATTTAAATTGACACCAGCAGCTAGGTCAGGCAGAGGCCCTAGTTCCTTCCAGATTCTACTTAATCTTTCACCCAGGAGGGGGCAGCCCTAGTGGTGTCTCCAATTTCTTTGAGCTGCCTTGTACTTTTCTTCTGCAACCATCTAGCTCTCATAGATTCTGCCCTGGCTTCTGATCCATTGGATGAAAGAGGAAATTTCTCTGGGCTCGTTTTGCTATCCTGGTCCTATAGTCACCTTTTCCACAATTTAGAGAGGTCTCTGTCTTTAATTTCATTCTTTAGTTCAGTTCAATTAAACAATTATTTTTGTTCAGTTTGTCTGAAGCATGTTCACTGATCAGTGGCTAAGGCAATTTCTATTTTAAAACAAAAGCTCAAGAAAGTAAAACCAGGGTACTATTGACATGGTTAGACTCCTGAAGAATGTAAGTGCCTTATTTAGCTCAACGGACGTTTCTGGAGTGCATCCTGCAGGAGAGCCAGTTTGTAATCCAGGCTCCTCCTCTTACGAATTTTGTAATTTTTGGGAAGGGTGTCAATTTCCTCATCTGTACCATTAATTATGAGATTGGATCAGATTATTTTTAAGCTGTCAAATCCATAATTCCAGGCTTGGTAGTTCTAGTGACTAAAATGTCATTTGAAGTCTTTAATCTACAAATTTCATATTGGTCTCAATTAGAATAAGAGAAAGAGAAAAAGACAAAGAGAGGGGGGCTGCTGATATTACTACGGTTATGCGTTTGAAAAGTGAACTTCAATAACTTTGTTTACATGGTTTTGGGTACACTTTGGGGAATATGTCCAGAAAGTGCTTTCCTCCCTTGTAAAGCACCTAACATTAATTGATAACTGCACGTAGTGACTTATTTCAAGGATAAATAATGTATCAGTATCCTAAATAAGATCAGATAATTTGAAAAATGAAACGCAACTCTTTCTCTTATTATTTCAGTTAACATCTGCGTTTAGTCTCCAAAGTAACCACATGGTATTGATGGAGGTACCATTGTTAGAAGAATCACCTGTCTTGCATCAGTTAATTCTAACTGCCCACAGCAGAACTCAGTGTTACAAACTCCCACCACCTGTTGACCTACCACTGTACTCCTTTCTCCAGAATCAGACTTACATCTAGTTCTCAGCTCACTGGCAGAAGAGAAAGGACGAGCATACTCTGAGTTTAATGAATGATTATGTGGAGGCTCAAGTTACCAGTTTTACCTACTTTTCCTGATTTTCTCTGATATTTCCATAGTATCTAGAATTTTGTAAATAATTAAAGTTGGAAATACCAAAATGTCTCAGGCATACAATAAAAATTGCATTGACCATGTCTCCCACTGGAAGATGAATTCTGTTCTCTCCAGGCTGTTCACAGAGATTTATTAGGTCCCATCACCTGGAGTATAGTCTTCTACCAGAAAAAAGCAATTTCAAACAATGGATCAATTAAAAAGGAGCTAGTCTATCAACTGATACTTTAAACTGTTTCCTAAATAATTAAATGAAAACATATAGCACCTATTTCAACAGCTTAATGAATGCATATTTGCTCTTGGCTTAGTACACAGATTTTAAAATCTAAACAGCTGAGTACCTCACCAGACCAAAACTTTCCACATTTCCCATTGTTCAGCCCAGAATGATTAATCTTGACTCACTGAAAGAGAGTAAGAGATTTTCTCTATTTAATTTTAAAATGAATAACTATAAATTGATTCAAACACTTATGGAAGATTAGGACCATTTTTTAATTGAGTTTCCTAATTCATATCTGATACAAATGTCAATAAATAACACAATGCTCTTGGCAATACAGCAGTGCTTCTTTAAAAACAAGAGCCTTGCTTTTCAGACGAAGTTTGCTTTGTGAACATGATTTCCACACATAAATCTCAGGATCCTAGAAAACATTTATAACTCAAGGGCTCAGAGTTCTGCCCATGGCAGACCAATTTTCATTATACAGCCGTATCTGTATGAATACGAAAAAGGTATGAATAATGGATTTTGTCTTTTACATTTCTGCTTCAGAAAGCATTACAGACAACGAAATACCTTTAATAAAAGTCATGCAGTCATTATTTTATGTGTACTCACATCCCCCACCTAGACATATTTCTTTGACTAGGCCCTGAATCTGGTCCAAATAACAGTTTTTAAACAAACTGTCAATTTGGATTTTATAAATGCAATGTGGAAAACTTCCATCATCATATTTGTTACTACTGAAAGTGATTAGTGTGAATATAGACTCAGGCATAGCTGAAAGAACCTTAGCATTTTAGGTTAAGGATATTTTCCTGGATTTTCAGTTGCAACAATTAAGTAGAGATCTTGATTTCTTGTTGGCCCTCAGATTGAAGGCTGGTCCCAAAGCCCTAATTCTAAACAGCCTGGCCTGGTCAC